ATGAGTGTGTGTGTGTATGTGTGTGTGCTCGCGCACGCATACACACAAAAACATATATACGAGGCAACCTAGGTGGAGAAAAGCACTAGCAGCTGGGGGTGGGGATGGTGTGTTGACCTTAAAGGTCTCATTTTCAAAGGGGTGGAAAGATGGGAGAGAAAGAAAACACATTTCTCATAATCTGTTTATTGACTGACAGTCTTAAAGAAGACCAGGTATTCATTTATACCTGGGCTTTTTTGTTTTGGTGAGGCATTCAGAGTTAAGTGACTTGCCCAGGGTCACACAGCTAGTAAGTATCAAGTGTCTGCGGCCAGATTTGAAAGCAGGCGCTCTTGACTCTAGCGCCAGTTCTCTATTCACTATGCCACCTAGCTGCCCCATACCTGGGTTTTTCATGAAGCCAGAGGGGGTTCCTACTCAGACAAAAATGGCACCTGAGAACCTTTCCAACTGCTATGACAGTGGTAATGTTCAAAATGGTGGAGCAGTCCAGAGGACTCCTATAAAACCTGAATTCACTTGGATCTGGGCCACCTGAGTCCAAAATAAAAAAAGGAAACTTAGCCCTATGTTTCCTTCCCAAATGAGATCATCCTGCAAAGTACAGCTTGAGAAAATCAAATTACCAATCTCTCTGCTTCTCGGCCATATCTTTACAAGCAAAGGAAAAAGGGAAACTGACAAAATTATACAAATTTAAAAAAAAATATGATTATGAAAAAGGGATTTGATTGGCTGGAACCATTCTCTGGTTTGTTTTATAAAAGCCTGAGGCCCTCCCTGTCTTCCCCACCCAGTCTCTTGCCAGTATAATAACCTTCCCTTTACACTGTATATCTCTTGAATGTACATAGTAATTTGAATATTGTCTCTCCCACTAGAATGTAAGCTCCTTGATGACAGGGATCAAGGTGTGTCTCCAACACTTAGCATTAGGAGTAACTCCCAGTAAGTGTTTAATATTCATTATTTGTATTAATAATTATTAATAACATAATTAATATCAATAAATAATATTGTTGACTTATGATACATTGAAGGTGTGTGCTCAGAGGTGAGCTGGGTATGTCAGGGATAGTTTAGATTTCTCAACTCAAGTCATCAATTGCAAAGGTTGTTGATCCTTCATTTTTAAAAAGGATCAACATATCATGAGGGTGATGTCCTGAAGTGTGTGTGAATTTTGACCTCAGAGACAAAGACCTAGTTAGAAGGGGCAAGAAGGGGTTAGGGTTCAGTTTGCTGGGGTTTTCCCAGTTATTGGCCGGGGGTGGAGGGGGAAAGAAGAAAGCCTCTTCTCCTACTCTGCCCCTCAAGGCCTCAGATTTATTCTGAAAAGAGATCAGGATGAATCTTGAATCTTTTTCAAACTCCTAGAACCTTATGTTCGTGGCATGTATCTACACTCTCCCAAAGATGAATCTCTGTAGGTCAATGGACACTCCACCAGTAACAATCAGTTATTTCTACACTTAACCTTAGAAATCGTTGGATAGAATTCGATTAACTTGACCGTAGGGGTGCCCTATACCAGACAGGCAGAGCCTCATGGAGGAATTAGGTGCTGTTGTAAAAACTGGATAGAAACATATGGAGGATGATAATATATTCAAGTTGAAAAAGTTTTCTTAGAAACAAAAAAGGAAACTAGTGACTAGACTGACCTTTAATGTTTTTGTTTGTTTGTTTGTTTGTTTTAAAAGAAAACAAGAGAACCTGAACCTGGCAGGGAGGTGAGGGAGGGAGGGAGGAGAATCCCCTTCGTAGGGTTTTCCTTTTTAGATGAGTGGGCTTACACAGTTTACTCTTCAAACTCTAGCTTTGCCAAACACATACTTGGTGACTGAATTGTGAATGGCGATGAACACAAGCATACCCGCTACAAATGTATGGGCTCAAAAGAAGCAGTTACTACTCCTCGGTGCCGATGTCCTCAAGAGTAAGAAATGACTTTCTCAGGGATGTCAGAGTTTTCCCATTAGGAGTTTGTTTTTCCCTACACCTCCCTACAAGGAGGTGTCTGTGCTTTGGAGGCCAAACTTATTAAATCCCTGCCCCAGGTGAGAGGCTTGGTGTCCCTGCTCCCACCAATCAGTCAGTCAACGAGCATTTATTAAGAGTTTACTCCATGCCAGGCCTGGTGCTAAGCATGGAGGCTGCAAAGAAAGGCAAAAACATGGTCCTTGATCTTAAGGGACTCACGGAAAGAACAAGCAAAAGCCAGGTACGTACAAGAAATATGCAAGGGAGTTGGCAGGGAACTTTGGAGGGATGGCATGACCGTGAAGGGAGACTAGGCTTTCCTAGTCTGGCAAAAGTGAGACTCCCTCAGACGCTTGATACTCACTAGCTGTGTGATCCTAGGCAAGTCACTTAACCCCAACTGCCTCGCCAAAAAAAAAAAAAAAAAAAAGTGAGATTCTTGTTTGAGGAAGAGCAAGGAGGTCAGCGTCACTGGATTCTAACACATGTAGAGGAGAGTGCCATAGAGGAAGACTGGAACAAGAAGAAGAGGCCAGGTTGGGAAGGGCCTTAAAAGCCAAACAGAGTATTTTACATTTGATCTTGGAGCTAATACCAAACGATCTAGGGGGAGGGGGAGGGGGAGGAGGAAATCCCTAATTAAATTGAATCCCCCATTTAATCATCAGGCTCTAATATGATGTCCCTGGGCTGGAAAAGTTAGCTGCATGGGGAAATCCACCAAACTTGGCTGACTTAGCTCTTAACCTCCGGGATACTACTTAATCACATTGGTGAGCACGGAGTACAGATGCAAATATTAAAAAAGCAGCTGCTCAATCATCCACCGTGGCTATTACCATTTATGAAGTGCCACTAGCACACAGGGCACTCCTGATCAAATGGACTAGAGATAGACCAAAGCCCCAGCCTTTGGGGAAGGTAAATATTTAAAGCACTTAACTGGGCCAAGGCTCCATTATGGACTTGTAACCTGTTAAGCTGCTTTACTGCACACACAACAACAGGGAGCATCTGAAATAGGTATTTGTTTTTTCCATTTGTTTGTTTGTTTGTTTTTTGGCAGGGAATAAGGGGGTCCTTGGTCAAATTCACCTAACTCTTCCTTTGCAATTACCTCCAGCAAAATTTTGACATCATGTTCTCTCCTTCCCCACATTCAACATTTTCCCACATAACGTAAAAGACCCCAGGTGACAGCTCATATATATTTTTAAAAATCCTCTTTATCATGTTTTCCTAAAGCCAAAAACCTCCCTCCAAAACCTAACAAAACTTGGCCTCCTGGAAGACATTACCAAGAAGTTTTCACTGTAATAAAAATAAAATTAGTTCCAGGTAAAACATAATATATTAACTTTGAGCTGGGAATGCTTTTTTACTGTTAAGTTATTAACCCCAAGAAAAATAAAGGTTTATAAATGAAGGCCCAGCAAGACTTCCCCAGTCATTGTATTAAGGCTCACTTCCACCAGTGTTTTACAACGGCAGAGTACTTTTGCTGCGGCCATTTGGAAAACTGCTCATAATCACTAATGATTGGAGAAAAGGCAATGAAAACAATTCTCAGGGATCACCTTATATTCATCAAATTGGCAGAGATAGCAAAGGGTAGAAAAATTCAGCATCCGTGGGGTGTTAGGAAAACAAAGATGCTAAATCACAGAGAGGGAAAACTATGAATTGGTCCAACAGTTATGGAAAATAATTAGAAATCATCAAAGGAATGTTACCAAATTGTTAATGCCCTTTGATCCCAGGTCCCACTATTGGATTAATATCCCAGTTTATCAACGAAAGAGGACCCTGATGTACCAAAATATTAATAAGCAGCGATATTTGTAATAGCAAAGGTGTGAAAACAAACCAGGAGCCCAGCGATTGAGGAATGGTTGAAATTGTGGCCTGTGAATGTCATGAGATTCAAGGTGCTCCAAAAGTTTGTAATAACTTAAAACTGCTCTAAGTCTTTTGGGACACCCTGTATTACTGCGTTGTAAAGAATAAGGAAGAGGCAAGATTCAGAGATGCATGGTAAGACGTGAATGAACTGACACTGAATGAAGAAACTAGAACCAAGAAAACATTTACCATGATGGAAATGAAGAGAACTTAAAAAAAAAAAAGCTTTAGGTTCAATAGAATGGATAGTGTTGGCTCCAGATTATTAAAGTTAAGGCACCCATCCTTTCTGCCCAAAGTAAAAAATGAAAACGAAAAATGGCATTGACTGTTAGTTGAATAATTCATTGTTGGATGACTTTCCTTAACTGTTTTTTTTTTTTTTAATGGACCTGTATTTTCTTTAGTGCAGGGAAAACCAAAGAAGTTTGGTGAGGAAATTCTAACCATTTGGTGAGGACTTTCTTTCATTAAACAAGGCAGATCACCTGCCTCTTTACAATTTATAGCCTCACAGAGCTACCTGGGGGAACACTGAGGGATCAAGTGACTTACCCAGGATCGTGTGTGTGTGTTTGGTGTGTGAGAAGCTGGACAGGAACCTAGGCCTTTCTGACTCCTAAGGTCAGCTCTACACTACGCTGTCCCTCTGGAGTTTGTGCCATAGTGCTGACCTTGAATGGATCCATACTGAGGTCACTGCTCGGTCCCCTACCCAACTCCAATCTAATAGCTTTTCCCAAGAAGATAAGCAGAGGCTTGTTTCTTGGGAATAACATCATCTGGTATCTATATGGTGGCTTGAGGATTTGCATTTTCTCATTTGATCATCCTAACAACCCTATGAAGTTGGTAATGCCATCCTTATTTTACATTTGAGGATATTGAGACACAGGGAGTTTCAATTGCCTAGGGTCACACGCTTTGTGTGAGTGTCTGAGGAGGGACTGGAATCCGGTGCTCCCTTTTCTGTGAAGAGAAGAAACTCTGCCTCTCTCTATGTAGGGATGAGTAGTCTGGTGTGCAGGAACATTCTACCATCTTGGGGGAAAAATTGTTTTTGTTGTAGTTCATAACAATGCAAGCTCCAAACTCCACAGTTTCCTACTTACCATTCTGTGACACTCTTATGGGCTCTGATTACTGATGTCTCAATATCGATTGGATGATACCTCATTCCCCGCAACTCCATAGCTTCATCTAATGCACCCACAACGTAGAGGGCATCGTGGCGCTCTGTTTTATGAACCAAGAAGAGAAAAGAAGTAGATGTATGTCATCAGGATTACACAGTCCAATTTGCTTCTTTTTTCTATTGTTTTTAAATTTTTATTTTTTAAGGAATAAAACAAGCATTTCCATAATGTAGCGTATTAAAAAAAAAGATGATTGAACATGAAACTGCAAATCTACTATGCACAACTTGCTATTCCTTTCAAATATACATTATTGTGTAAATTTCCCCACCCCCCGCTCTACCAGTAGCTACCATTAGACACAAATAGGTGTATATATGTAAAATTATTCTACACATATTTCTATTTATCAGTTCTTTCTTTAGATGCAGGTAAAATCTTTCTTCATATGTCCTTTAGAGTTAATTTGGATAAAATGTTGCTTTCTCCAATAAAAAGCAAACAACCTCGAGTTGGGATTCGTAATAGGAGAGGGCTTTTACAAGGCACAGGAAAGCAACAGGAATGATAAAAGAACAACAGATTTAAAAGGATCATAGACCTGGAGTAGAAAAGGCCCTTCGAGGTCACTGCATCTAAACTTTTCACTTTATACGAAGATGACGAGGGCCAGAGAGATGTGACCTGCTCAAGGTCACACAGCTAATCAATGGCAGAATCAGGATTTGAAAGCAGGTCCCCTGATTCCAAATCTAATGCTCTATGCTATAAAATCCTTTCATTGAAGATGCCTTGAATTGGTCAGGCTTTGTACTACCACTACTTTCAGTATCTTAGAGAATCTCCCCCCTCCCCCCAAGAATGCTGGTCTTTACTCAGGTCAGATTTCCTCTTATGATTTCAGGGCTGAGAGAGGAAGGATCATATTTATTTTTTTCTGCACCAGTTACTACACACTACCAAACCCCTGATGGGTGCTTAGCATGCTTTTTTTTTTCCCTCGCCTCCTCCTTCTTCTTCTTCTGATGATGAGTCCAAGGAACCTCAGTGATTTATTTGGCTTAAGACCAATTAAAATTAAACATTTTTTCACATGAGGAAATGGAGGCTGAAAAAAAGAGCAGGTGACTTCAAAGTCACAGGGCTGGTTAATGACAGGGTCAGGACAATGAAGTAGGTCTCCTGATTTCCTGTCTGGTGATCCACCATGTTGCGCCCAGATTCCATTTAACTCGGGAGATACTGTACTTTGAGGCCTCACATTGAGGGATTTATTCTCAGCCCACTTAGGAATAACAATAAAACAAAGTCCCTTGTGCTTCTTTTAAAGTGAGGAAACCTATACTTGATCTTGTAAGTGCTAAATGAAAGCCTCCCTTTGAAAAATGACCAACTTACAACTAAAATAGAAGAGAAGTACATGCATTTATATAGTTGTCTACTGTGTGCCAGGCACTGGGCTAACCACTTTAAAAAATATTATCTCGTTTGATCTTCACAACAACCCTGCGAGGTAGGTGCTTTTATGATCCCCATTTTACAGTTGAGGAAACTGAGGCAAACAGAAATTAAGTGACTCGCACCAGGATCACACAGCTAGTAGGTATCTGAGGCTGGATTTGAACTAGGGTCTTCCAAACTCCAGGCCCAGAGCTCTATCCATCATGCCACCAGCATCCTCTAGGAAAACAAATCTTTCCTAAGTTGATATATGATAATAAGAATAGAAGACTTCAGACATACATGGTTATTAACATCCTTCTACATTCCTGTGGAGAGGTGGTATAGCCCTGGTATTCTTTGGATATCATGGTAAGGAAGGGGGCTCCTAAAACATAGGCTTAGTGACCTAATATAAAGGAACTGTGTTGGGAAGGCCATTCAGCTTGGAGTCAATGTGAAGTTTCTCAACTCTGTTTCTATTTGTAAATTTGATTTTTTTATAGGAATCCCAAATAACTTGCTGAAACCCAAATAGTTTATGTATCTTCAGAACTCCAAATGTAATTTGTTGGTTGAATCAAGGACTCTGTAACTGTGTTTATTCAGCTCCCATTAAGTTTTTAGTGCCATATTAATGTCTTAATGTCAGGAAACGAAACTAACCACTTTCTCCTAACAGAGATGAAAAAAATATCCAGGTATCACAACTGTTTCAACAGGTTGAGTGATCTGGGTGTTAATGAGACATGTAGATAACTATACGCTCCAGCTCATTTACAAGCCAGAATGGCTCTCTATCTGGCCGATTTGTCTTGCAAAGCGGTCTCTTCTCTCAAAATCACATTTTTCACATTTCTAGAAAAAAAAACAAACTGGGGAAACAGCTCTGGTAAGTCTGATTCTATCCACTAGGGGGCAGTAGGACACCCTCCCTTAAGCCACGGCTGGAAAACAGCGTCTTGTATACCAGAGCAGTCAGATTTTGGGAAGATGGTCATGCCAGGGCTGGGTACGGGACATTTTCCCCACGCGAAGATGACAAACTGAATTACCCTGAGGAAGGAGCAGGGCCAAACAGGACCTCAGCTATTGAACTGTGGGAACCTAAGGGCCAGTTTCTATTTTAGGCAGGCATGGGGTGGGGGGGGGGGGAGAGGTTGGGAAATGGGTCCAGAGTTATCAAGACGGCCATCCACCAGGAACCTTTTTAATAGAGTTTTGGAAACATTCAAGTCCTTAAGCAGATGCTTCTGAGTGCATTAAATAGCTTAAGAGCCCTCATTAGTTTTAAATGGAGTGTGCCTTCTTGTAAACAAGGCTAAGGTCTACACCCAGTGTTGTACTGTAACACCCGTGAGCTCCTAAGTGGGCACAGCTGTCTTCTACAGGAATTCTTCATGTTTTATAGATCTGGTTACTTTTTTTTGTGCTTTCTCAAAGGCCATTTTGCAGTCTATTCATCGTGGGCCACAGGGCAAATGTGCAGTTAGTCTTTGATGCATGGGACCAGCTTTTTTTGGGGGGAGGGGAGCGAGACCAAAGGAAGGTGGGAAAAGTGGGAGTCTGATATACTTGGGACCTAATAAAGGGCCAGCTGCTTGGGAATGTGTCTTTTCTGTTCTGAGGAAGCTGTCTGAACTGGACTCAGAATGAAAATGCTCACCTCCATTGGCATCAGTAAGCTCAGTTCTCCTCAGGAATCCCAAATAGCCTGTTCGAGCCCAAATAGTCTGTGTGTCTCCAAAACTTAATCTTGAATTAAAGTGATCTGACTGAAGGGATTCATCTCCATAAATAGTAAAGTAGCCACTGGCATTGTGAGCGCTGTGAACCCAGATCTGTTTAAGCAAAACACAACAAAACATAAAATTGACCAGAACTTTATTCAATTGACCTAGGCAGGTATTTGATGAGAACTGTCCACTATTTTAAAAAAAAGAATTCTAATTAAATATTTACTTGGATTGAGAAAGTCTGATTCATTAATCTCATTCTAAGTTTTGGGGGATATTATAATATATCAAGCTTTCTGCAATAAAAGTATTGCTCATCGTATTGGCTAAACTCTTCCCCAAAGGTCCCTCCCTACAGGAATTTAAGAAAATATAAGTGGACAAAAGCATATTCAGAGCTATCCTGGTGTGACTGCTAATTTTGTTTTATCAAAGTGGGATTTTTCACTGTATTCAGATCCCTTACATAATTAACTTCTGTATCTACTCGTGGCTGATAATGGAATCATTTTTGCAAGTAGAAACCAATTCTTGATGTAGATTTCTTTGTTATAGATGGTCTCAAGGAGTGTAAATACTTTGGATGGCCTAATAGACCATCCTGCTCCTACCACTCTAACATTCTGTACCCAGGCTTCTCAGTACGGTGGTATATGAAAGAGATTGACTCAGGACTAGATAAGGGAGTAACCCCAGGCTTCCCAGGACACTGAAGAAATCAGACATAGGGGACAGGAGGAATCTTGGGCTCCTGCTCCTGGAGGGTTTACCAGGGTGACCAGAGACTTCCTGTGTATCCCATTGTCACTTTCAAGGGGCTCTCTTTTTCCATTTTTTTTTGCATATGCTTACATGTTATCTCTCCCTATAGAATGTTACCTCCTTAAGGCAGGGGGCTGTTTGTGTCTTGGTATCCTTCCAGCATGTAGCTAGCTTGGTGTCTGACACAAAGTAGGTGCTTAATACATGCTGGTTGATTGATAGCTGGTTACTCCCAAGGCGGGCTCCAGGAACCCCAAGAATTAATCCCAGCTGCAGCAACACGACAAACCGGCTTGCCTCTTTAACCAAGAAAATGTGTTTACTTTGTAAGTGGGGAAGGAGATCGTAGCAGGATCATAGTTTTAGAGCAGGAATGGACCCGAGAGGTCATCTATTCCAACATCCTCATTTTATAAATGAGAAAATGAGGCCTAGAAAGAAGTAATTTGCCCAGGGTCACAGTAAGCAAGTTTCCAAGGAAGGATTGGAACCCACTTCTTCCAGACTCCAAGCTCAGTGCTCTCTCGATTTCCTCACGCTGCTTCTCAAGACAGAAACCAGGCCAACGTTTTTTGGCTCCTGGCACTGAACACCTATACCTCCAAACCCCAAGCAGTGGTCATGCACAACACTGTACCCCATGGTAGGCACTGAAACTTAACTAAGTATTTTTCTTAAGACCTTCCTCTCACCTGAATTCAAATACATGTGCAGGTTCATAAACTCTGCAGAGATCTTCACATATGAATAAAGAATGAGCCAATAAAAGCCCCTTGAGGAACAGGAGTTTAGGAAATGTTATCTGATCATGAATTAAAGGGTTACTACAAGAAAAAAAATGGGTAAAGTAAGACGTTCAAGATTTGTCTCCTCCATGGTTACTTTCCCTAAATAAATTATAAATACTAGCTATTATCCCCCAACATAAACTGCAAATTTTAAAGGACATTTATTTTATGACCTGAAATAAAAACTGTATCATTTGCATTCTAGTTAGTACATTGGCCATCATCTCCTAAGTGATAAATTGTGTCTCAATTCTAAATTGCAGCATCATTATTTTCAGTCACCTTTCTATATCTCTTTTGCATATGAGGAGTTCCCAGTGAGGGCAGGAGACATGAGAATCAAGAGGGAGGGGAACATGTCTAGGGAGACCAGGAATAAAGAGATTCTCTCTCACACACCCCTCCAGTTCCTGTGCATTATTATAGCCAAATGTGTGTTTAAATCATTACGGAATCCCACAAAGAATCTCATGCACTTCCTTAAGGAACTGACATTTTGTTATTCTGAGGAAGAGCTGGAACTCTGTTTCCGACTTATATGTAGCTTTACAGATTCTTCTGTCAAGAATTCCCAATCTGATCAAATCAGACTTCGCAGTGCTTTTCCCAAGCTCCATTTCCTTTGGGGGCTATTTGTTGGCTCAGTCTCTCATTCATTCATAAGGTTCCAATTAGAGATCAAATGCATGTGTGAAAAGGTCCTCCCTGGTTTCAAGGAGAATAGAATATGTGTGTCTAAAGAGGAAAAACTGGTCTTAGATGGAAGGCCTTGCAAAAGACAAATTCTATTACTTACCTCCCCAAGATGAGAGTCTCCCAAGGGTCCTTTTGTTTCTGGATTTGCAATTATGATACGGACTCCAGGGAGGATCTATTGAGAAAGAAGCAAAATCCAATTGATGGGAAGGAAGGAAAGAAGGGGAAAAGAAGGGAAGGAGAGGAGAGGAAGGCCAGCAGGCCAGCAGACATGCAAATAGGTAAAAGATACAAACAGTCAGGAAAACCCACTTATTCTTACACAGATGCTGGATATGCATGTTCTTAGAACTGTCCTTTTTAAGGTTAGTTTTCTTCCTTTTTGGAAGTTGATGAACCTGAGTCCAGAACTATGTCGTATATTTCTCATGATGCATAAAAAATACATTACCTGAAAGATATACTCTTAAATATTTCAATTACAGTGAATGAATAAATAGGCAACCCTCATTTCACATGATCTTGTTATACAAAATTCCAAACTGATCATCAAGAAGTCTGTAATGATAATGAATTATTGCACGTGTTTCTATGCAGTTTATAGACTGCAAAGTGTTTCTTCAACCCTGAGAAGTAGGCAGGATAAACATCATTATCCCCATTTAACAGATGAGGAAACAGATTCAAAGGCTTGTTCATAGTTACGAAAGTTAATAATTATTAGATCCAGGACTCTGTCTTCAGACTCCACGTTTTGTGCTCTTTTCACTATACCATGGTGCTCATTCATTTTATGTAACTGCAGGTCTTAAAAGAAGATCATTTTCAGACTAAAACCCATTATCCCAGGTCCTCTGTTTAATCCTTGAGTATATTTGGGCAAGTGTACACTCTTACACTTAACCTGTGTGGACCTCAGCTGCCTCATCTATAAAATAATTGAGCTGCATTAAGTGGTCACAGATTTCCTCAGCTATACATACTACAATGTAATCCTTTGTTTCAAGTGATGAGATTTGTAGATGAAAGCTGCTTCTGCAATACGTGTTAAGAGTAAAGGGACTGGGGTGGCCAAGATCTGAAGGTGAAGCGTACCCCAGACGTGTGCCAGCGGCTCAGGAGCTAATTGTTTTTTAATGACCAGAAGAGAAATCCGACTTTAGCATTACACTGTAACTCTTCTCTCCAAAGTTAGCACTGATCTTCTATTTGACAAATTCAAAGGCCTTTTCTCAGTTCTCACTCTTCTTGTCCTCTCTGCAGCCTGTGATACTATTGACCGCTCTCTCCTCTTGGATACTCTGTTCTCTAAAGTTTTTAGGGACACCACACACAGTGTTCTGTGCTGGGCCCTCTTCTCCCTCTACATGACTTTTCTTGGTGATCACATCAGCTCTATAAACTCCTAACGGATTTAATTACTATCTCTATGCTAATGATTCTCAGATCTATCTATCCTGCCCCAACCTTTCTGCTGACCTCCAACCTTGCATCTCCAAATAGATGTCCAGTAGCCATCTTAAACTTAACATGTCTGAAATATAACTTATATTCCAGCAACAAGAGGGTCTATCTTCCTTAGTCCTGCCCGCTTCCCTGTTACTATAAAGGGCAACACCATCCTCCTAGTCCCTCAGGCTCGAAACCTACAAGTCATTCCCCCTTTCACCTCTCATATCCAATCTGTTGTCAAGGTCTGTCAACCTCACCTCTGTCACACCTAGATTATTGTAATAGGCTGCTGGTGGGTCTCTTGCCACTCCAATCCATCCTCCATTCAGCCACCAAAGTGATTTTCCTAAAGCCTCCTCCCTCAACCCAACTCAATAACTCTAGTGGTTTCCTATTGCCTCCAAGATCAAATACAAAATGCTCTGTTTGGCATTCAGAGCCCTTCATAACCTAGCCCCCTCTTCTGTTTCCCATTTTCTTACACCCCACTCCCTGAAATGTACTCTTATATCCAGTAACACCGACCTCTTGGCTCTTCTACAAACAAGCCACTCCATCTCTTAGCTCTGGGCTTTTCCTCTGGCTGTCCTCCATGCATAGAATGCCCTCCCTCCTCCACTCTGTCTACTGAACTCCTTGGCTTCCTTTTAAGGTCCAACAAAAATCCCATCTTTACTGGAATCTTTTCCAACCCCTCTTAATTCTAGTGCCTTCTCTCTGTTACTTATTTCCTATTTATCCTATCTATAGCTTGTTAGTATTTATTTCTTTGTGTTGTCTCCCCCATTAGATGGTGAACTCCTCAAGGGCAGGGACTGCCTTTTGCCTCTTTTGTATGCCTAGTACTTAGCACAGTGCCTGGCACATAATAGGTGCTTATTGATTGGTTGATTGAAGTGGAAGGAATATCTATAAAATAGGGACATGATTCCCATTAGGTTAAGCATTTGTATCTGCTATACCCTAACATATTCTGAAGCTAACCACCTCCAGCCAGAAGCATTTTGTCCTTCCTTAAATCACTCATTTGACTCTGCATGACCTTTTCTGTACATTTATCATGCTTTAATTTATGTCACAGTTATTTGTGTACCTATCTCATTAGAACAGAGGGTCATGCATTTGTTTTTATAATTTTTTTCATAACTGTATTTCAATATATTTTTGTAATTACTATATAATTTATTTCATGCATTTAAAAATATTGTTTTGAGAAAGAATTCATAGCACAAAGGAGTCCATGATACAAAAAAAGTTTAAGAACCTCTGCCTTAGAAGAAGTACGTTGGACTTGGAGTCAGGGAGACATGAGTTCAAGTATGGCCTCAGGTACTTATTAGCTGTATGACTCTGGGCAAGTCACTTAACCTCTTTCTGCCTCAGATTACATAATTATAAAATTATAATAATAATGATAATGTCTATATCATAGGATTATTATGAAGATAAAATGAGAGATGACATGTAAAACACTTCGAGTACTTAAAGTAATGTTAGCTATTACTTCTCCTTCTAGAAAGTTCCTTGAATAGAGATTGTTTTTCTTCCTTATATGCTCGTCAACATTTACCCCAGTGCCATGCACATAATAATATTAATGATAATATTAATAGTAGCGTTAAAACACTAACTACTTTTCATATATGTTCTCTCTTTCGGAACAACCCTATAGGTATAGGTATAATTATCCCCATTTTATAGATGAAGAAAGTGAGCATCAGAGGTTAAATGACTTGTTCAAGATCATACAAGGAATAAGTGGCAGAACCAAGTCTTTTGACTCCAAGTCTGGCACTCCATCTCCTACCTCAAGGCCTTAATATTTATTGAATATTCAAAGTAAGAGTGGCTAGTATGTTTGCCTTCACATGTATTACCTCAATGGATCTTTACAACAACTGTGAGGTAGAAGCTGTTGTTGTCCCCCCCTTTTCAACTGTGAAATCAGGGCCTTGCTTAGAGTTACACACAACTTGGAAGTGTCTGAAATAGGATTTAAACTCAGTTCTTCTAAACTCTGGGTCTGGCGCTTTACCCGCTGCACCAAATAGCTGTGTTCTCTCTTTCCCTCTGCCTTTCCATCAAGTTGTGTACTTGGTTTATCAGGGGATTTTTTCTAATGCAGATCTGCTATCTAACCCACTTAGGGAAAGCATATTTCAAGCAAGAGATGCTGGAGCATAACACTGTTGATTAGAAAAGCTCAAATGATGTGACATCTGAGAGGAAGAAAGCAGAGTCTCAGGACACACTCTGCTAAGGTTCTGATAATTCAGAATGAAAGACCAGAGACAGGTGAGAAGACCTTTTGGTACAGAACACAGAACTTCTGGTATAGTTTCCACTTGACAGAGGTCTGAGGTGACGAGGTCAGAGCAAATCACTCTGGCCTTGTCATAGTAAATTAGATATTCATGGTTCAGTATCTAGTGACAAGTAGTAGTTTGTATTGTTGCAGCCAATATGTCAAGAGGAACTCAAAAGCACTGGACTAATGGTGGCTCTTCTAATTCTCATTGTAATTATTACATGAGATTTCATTGGTTAGAGTCTCAACCTGCAAAGGTATTCAGCATTCAGTGACGCTACCTTTTTAGGTATACACCCTCTAACTTGCTATGTGTTACAATATCTTTTAATACTTACTTTTCCTGATTCCATGAGGGGCAAACTGTGGGGAGATCCTCTTTCTACTAGACGAACTCTGCAAACACAGAAACAACAGATATACATGAACATTTCTACCCCTCTATTTTTGCTAAATCCCTTTCCCACTCAGTCCTAGGCTATGTCCCCAGCAGGTTCTCTCAGGAAATGGTCAACTCGATGGTATTAGCAAACCAACAGCAATTCGGGTTAAGAAGAAAAAGAATATGTTCTCCTCAATGTATTTTGGTTGCGCATAGGCAGAGAAGAAGTAGAATATGACCATACCAGAAAGGAGCAAAAGAAAGTAATCAATTAGGCAGTGCCAAATTGACTGTGGGACTTCTGGGTCCTGTTCCGTGGATTGTAGTCCAGGTGCATCCTGCTTTCTGTCTGCATTTGGGTAATGCGTTTAGTCTCCAGAGTAGGAAAAGATTAGACTCATTTAAATCATAAATCTTAACTTAGCAACAATGTTTAATCATCATTGCTAAGGAAATGGACATTGGTACAAATAGAGAACAATGAATGTAGGGTGAAGACAAAAGAGAATGGGAAGTGGCAGTCTGAACAAATGACTAAAATAATAGGGAATGTGGTTTAGTACAAAGAGCAACTAACTTTCCAACTATCATTTGCCGAAAGGGAAGAATTGAATATAAGGCCTAAGGGGTATTGCTCATTGGAAAGCTCATCAGGCTACAAGTATTGGCAAACACACCTGGGGATCATTATCATCATCATCATCCTCATCATCATAATTATCATTATCATCATGATCATAGCTAACATTTATATAACAAGCCTTTGTTGTCATTCTAGGCAGTGGTATGCTGGTAAATATTTAACATCTGGCTTTCCAAAAAAAAAAATTATACAAAAAACAAACTTCAAGCATTACTGACTTTTCCTCCATGACCTTCTTACAAACAAAATAATAAATCACGCCCTGATTTCTAGTATTTGCAGATTTCCTGGGTATAAAAAGGACTGCATGTGCAAGCTGGTTTTAGCTGACTCCAGTCCACCCCTGGTTTCAGATAAAACAAACAGCTCAAGGTACAATTCCTCAACATTCTACCCAGCATGGAAACTATTCTATCATAGTAAACATGGTCACAGAGTCAGTAACAAAACTGAAATAGCAAGAGGTCAGCTACTTCATAAGGTGAAATATCCTTAAAAGAGAATCTTCTAATTCAGACAGTGGATGGTTACCTCAGGCATTTCAGTGTCAACCATCATTGGCTGACTCTGTTACTTTTCTCTCTTACAGTTATTGCTACACACAACGGAACTAAGGCACCATAATGTTGTTCATTCAGGAAGTACCAAAAAAAGACGGGAGCTAAGTAGTTTGCCAAAGAATTATTTAATCTAAATCAAAAGACTTTCGTTGGTTGGCTATGGTTTGGGGGTTTAAATCACATACACACATCCTAATAGGGAGTACATGAGGCTACGTGCTAAAATAGCTGAAACTCCTTCTTTACAGAAAGAGAAAAGGCTACACGACAGAAGAAAGCAGCAGAAGGCTTGTCCAACCTCAGAGCACTAGCAAATGGTAGCAGAGAACAGTCTGGTTGCAGATATCCAGAACAGTGGAAAGAACAACCTATCAAAACAGCCCAGCAGCCTCTATCAGCGCTTCTTAATCTGGTGATAGATTTCAGGGATTCCATGAACTTGTATGGGGGAAAATTACATTTTTATTTCAATTTAATTGGTTTCCTTGGTAATCCTTTATATTTTATTTCATACTAAAAAACCATTGCTCTAAGAAGGGGTCCATAGGCTTCACCAGAATGTCAAAGGAGTTCATGACTTAAAAAAGGTGAAGACCTCTAGTTCAAGGCATCACCCAGTCAATCAGATGGCCTGAGTTTACCTGTAGAGGAAGCAGCAGTGATGGAGAAGGCAGGTTCCAGTTGGGACACAGCCCTATTTTTTATTTTTGGGTGAGGCAATCAGGGTTAAGTGACTTGCCCAGGGTCACACAGCTAGTAAGTGTTACGTGTCTGAGGCCAGATTTGAACTCAGGTCCTTCTGACTCCAAGGCTGTTGCTCTATCTACTGTGCCACCTAGCTGCCCCCCTTATTTTTTTTTAATAAAAATGTGTGTTGCCTTGGTGTCACTTATCCCCTTTCCTTTTCAGTGAGTGGGATTCCATGGAGAACGTACTTCTTTCTCTGTGTATGAGGGAATTTCCTTTGAAATTTATTTTGGTATGTGTTTTCTTTACTATCTTTTGGTGTGATATCCAGTTGTTTGATATCTAGTAATATCCAGTTGGTTTGGTAAAAAAAAAAAATTACACTGGGAATTCATGAGTTATTGCTTAGAGTATTTGATAAATCAAAACATGTCCTTAATCCAGAGTAACTACTGGGGTGAGGCACACATGAAGGTGAGACCTTGGAGCTATACTTGAACTACCTCTACCATATCTTTTAGAACTAAAAGGGCCCTAAGAAACCATCTAGTGCAAATTTTTCATTGTATAGTTGAGGAAACTGACACCCAGGGAATTTGCCCATGGTCTTAGAGATGGTAAATGGTAGGCTTGAGATCTGAACTCAGGTTTGCTGCCTCCAAATCCAGGGCTCACTACACTAGTACTTCTAGCTCCTTCTCAGAGAATTGTTCTAGGGAAAGCACCTTGTAAATCTTAACGTAACATATATGTAAGTTGTTATAGCTCTTCTGTGGATTTGGTGTACCTTGGACTTGATCTACATCTAATGCTAATTGGGAAGTACTAATCTCTAATTGGGGGTAGGGAGGGCAGGGCTATGTGTCAATTATTGTAATAACGTCAATAATGTTGTATTTACCCCTCCTCCATAAAAATATATAGCTGGCGGTAATATAGTGCTTTAAGATTTGGAAAGCATTCTGCATACATCATCTCATTTTGAGTCTAACAGATGTTACCAATGAAATAGGGTTGATGGATGGAGAGTTTGGAAGTCCAGTGTTTGTATTAAATCAATCTCAGGGGATATTGCTTAATTCAGGGCCCGCTGTAACAAGAATCATAATTCTATTTCATGTTGGTGATCAGAAAATCAAGATTTAGGGTTGGAAGTGACCTCTGAAGTCATCCAGTCCAACCCCATTCACTTTAAAGATGAGGAAACTGAGGCTGATAAAAGCTGAGTGATTTGTCCACTTCCCTCAGGTAGCATATAGTAGAGCTGAAATCAGAGCCTAGGGTCCCTTGAGCTCCAATCCAGTGCCCTCCCACTTTAGCAATGCCTTTTCCTGCACTCCCACTGCCTGTGCTGATCTCTGCATTGCTCCAGAGGGTGTAAAAGCCTGCTGCTGTTTGGAGGGTGGGCTGCCTTCCAACAACCAGGTTGTGAGTTATGCCCCAGACAGCCAGGCTGTAGAGTGAATCCCTAGGACAAAAATTAGAGCCCAGTAGTCTCAAAGGAATGAGAGGTCAGCCCAGTTTCTATTCCTACTTACCCTCTGGTCTATCATTTACTCAGTGTTCACTATTATTTTGGAAAGCGAAAGATCCCTTCCAAGCATGTCATCAGACACGTCAGGCAGCTCAGGGTGCTTTATCAGGATGACTGGTTGTGGGGCAGACTCATGCCAGCTTGTGGAATGGAAATAGCTGTGAGAATAAAAGGGGGAGCCCCCCCAAATCCCACTCACACACAGCTTCCTAATACAATGTTTGACACATCGTCCTGAGTTCAATCACTTCATACTGCTGGTATCCATTATGTCTTGTATTATGCCAACTTATGAAAGGTCAAAAACTGTGACAAAAGCAGGAATATGCCTGTCCACATTGGATCTCAAAATGGAAGTTTAAACCCTTAGAAAAAGGGCATATCAGGGCTGGATATATCGTTCATTTGATACTTCCTTGGTGTCGATTTTTTAAAATAGTGGTTTCAATTCTGATCTCAGATTCAAACTGCATAGTTGTCTAATGGTGCTCATCTATTTGTATAACCACTATCTGAATTTTTGCTTCTAGTTACAAATGGTGCAATTTCATATTCACAAGATCACAAGATCCACACCTGAAAAGGATCTTAGACATCAAATCCCCTTATTTGATAAATGAAGAACAAAGAAAGATTGAGTGCCCATCAACTAGGGAATGGTATATGAATGTAGTAGAATACTATTGTGATAAAAGAAATGATGAAAGGGATTGTTTCAATGAACCTTGGGAAGATGTGCATGAACTGATGCAGAGTGAAGTACGTGGAGCCAGGAGAATAATTTACACAATGACAACAACCCTGAAAAAATAAACAACTTTGAAAGCCCTTAAGAACTCTGATTAATTCAATTACCAACCATGATTCCAGAGGATAGTTAATGAAGTATGTTACTCAACTTTGGAGAGAAGGGTGATAGACTCAAGGTACGGGATGAGGCATACTTTCTGAACATAAGCAAAGCAGGGATTTATTTTTTTTTTGACTATGAATATTTATTCCTAGAGATTTGTTTCTTTTTTTTTCAGAAGGGTTGAGAAGTAGGAAAAATCTGATTTTTGTTCATTACAAAACAAAACCCAAAATTTAATCTAAAGAAAGAATGAAGGAGGGTTCCAGAGAGTACAGTGGGGAGAGAGCAGAGGAAGGCAAAGAGTAGGGAGCGCTGGGGATAAGTGTATAAGGAAGAGGTATCAGAGGAAAAGCAAGTAGGAGAAAGTCAGGGAGGTTGGTGGGAGATGGTCCAACCTGGGGTGCAGTCATGAAAGGAGAGGGAGCAGTCATCCCTCCCTCATGGAAGTAAAGGGGGAAGATAGAAGGCCAAGTCTCTGTTGGAAACTGGGGAGAAGGGGGGGGTTGAAAATGGGAAAAGAGGAAGCTCATATGGAATACAACTTTCTCCAAATAAAATACATTATCTTTAGCTGAGAGACAGAGGTTGTAAGGAGAGTTACGGGAGGCTTGAGAAGGAAAGAGAAGGTTGGGAAGACCTTTCGTGGAGAGTGAGATGAAAATCCAACTACAGAAGAACAAAAGGACTGTGCCTTGATGCAGAGAAGGCCCAGCTGAGGTCAACGTGAATTTGTGCTT